CAGACGCCCCGGGGCGGAACAAGCTCTGACCAGACCCCCTAGGAAAGGCTCGGTCGGAGAAGCAGAAGCCCAAGGCCTGGTGCTCTGCCGTGTTCCACAGGCGCCCCCGGGGCCCCGGGGAGCGGGAGGCGGGTCCGAGGCGGGCAGCCCACGCCTGCTGTGCCCTCACAGGTTCCGAGGACCCGGACGACGCGCCGCCCGCGCACGAGCCCCGGCTCAGGCTCATCCTGGCCGGCAAGACCGGCGCGGGCAAGAGCGCCACGGGCAACAGCATCCTGGGCCACGGGCGCTTCCCGTCCAGGCTCGCGTCCACCCCGGTGACCAGGACCTGCGCCCTGGGGAGCCGCCGCTGGGCCCGCTGGCGCGTCGAGGTCACCGACACCCCGGACCTCTTCAGCGCCGACGGCCGCCGCGCCGACCCGGACTGCGCCGAGCGGGGCCGCTGCTACCTGCTGTCGGCGCCCGGGCCGCACGCGCTGCTGCTGGTCACCCAGCTGGGCCGCTTCACCGCCCAGGACGAGCAGGCCGTGCGCGGCGTCCGCGAGCTCTTCGGGGCCGGCGTCCTGGCGCGGGCAGTGCTCGTCTTCACCCGCCGGGAGGACCTGGAGGGGGCCTCGCTGCACGACTACGTGCGCGACACCGACAACCGCGCGCTGCGGGCCCTGGTGGCCGAGTGCGGCGGCCGCGTGTGCGCCCTGAGCAACCGGGCCGCGGGCGCGGCGCGCGAGGCGCAGGTGGAGGAGCTGCTGGCGCTGGTGGAGCGGCTGGCGCGGGAGCACGCGGGCGCGCCCTTCACCAACGCCGTGTACGGCCTGGCGGAGGCCCTGCGCCACGCGCCCCCCGACCTCAGGCTCCGGCGGGTGGCCCAGCTGCTGGCGGCCGGCGGCTCGGCGCGGGGGCGGGGGCGGGGGCGGCGCTGGCTGGAGGTGGCGCCGCGCGGGTGGCGGCGGGCGCTCGTGCTGCTCGGGGGCGCGCTGCTCCTGGGCCTGCTGCTCTGGCGCCTGAGACCAAAGGCCTTGCAGGAGGTCAGTCCCGACTGACAGTCCAGGGACGACTTCGGCCCATCGACTGATGATCACTTCGCCGCTCGTGCGGTGTGCCTTCGGGGCCCACAGGCTCTTCTTTCCTACTTCCCTGGCGGGGATTGCCTAGGCAGCGTCCCGCCCGGCCCGGACTCAGCAAAACCTACCCTTGGGACTTGGCCCTCCCTGTGCTCTCCTTTCACTGAAGCCAAACAACCGGATTTGCTTTTATCTGTTTTCCCTGACCTCAGGCTGCCTTCCCCTGTCATTGGATTGTCTTCCCTCCTGTCTTTGCCCTCATGTCTCGCGGACTCCCCCAAAGGCCGAGAGGGAGAGCCAACACAGAGCAGAACCTCAGTCCATCCTCGTTTATTTGAGTTCAATCTGAGTTGAATAAATATAGGAAACAAT